TTTTTTATTGCAATCACTGTAGCAGATTGCTTCTGATACAAATAACAGTTGGTTTAATGCTTATTTAAAAAATAAAACTATTTCTCTTCTGCCTTTGTGGAGAAGTTTTCTGTATTGGAAGGAGGTTTTTTAAAACAATTATTAATATTCTTTCCTTTAATTTAATTAAAGGAAAGATTTAATTATTTAATTATTTCCTCAACAGTTTCCATGGTTTGTTCATTGATTTGCCTATTAATGGGTATTTGGGTTGTTATCAATTTTTATGCTATTATGAATAAATTTTCTTGTATAAGTCTTTATGTGGACATATGTTTTCATTAGTCTTGGGAAAACCTAGGGATAAAATTGCTGAGTCAAATATTATAATTCTATGAAGTTGCTAAACTTCCAACTAGGAATATATTTTACATTCCTATGAAGAATATATGAGTTTAATCCACCTTGGTATTTTCAGTTTTTGCAATTTTAGTCATTCTAATGGGGCTGTACTGGCATTTTATTGTGGTTTTATTTTTAAATAAATTTCACTGAGCTACAAAATACAATGAACACATCCGTGTTAGGTGTTCAGTAGTCCCCACCCTTATCCATAGTTTCACTTTCTGCCATATCAGTTATTCATGATCAATTTAAGTCCAAAATATTAAATGGAAAATTCCAGAAATAAATAATTTATAAGTTTTAAGTTGCATATCTTGTAGAGTAGCTGATACAATATCACACTGTCCTGCTCCATCTTATCCAGGATGTGAATCATCGCTTTCCCCAGCATACCTACCCTGTATAAGCTACCCACCATTAGTCACTTAGTAGCCATGTCTGTCATCAGATGGACTGTAGCAGTAACACAGTGCCTGTGCTCGTTACCCTATTGTACTGAATAACGCCCCCAAAGTGCAAGAGTAATGATGCTGCCATATTGTTATCATTGTCCCATTTTGTTATTAGTTGTTAATCTCTTATTGTGCCTAATTTATAATGTAAACATGATCATAGGTATGTATTATCATGTATAGGAAAAAAACATAGCACAGCCACAGTTATTGACCAGGATGGTCTTGTAGGAAGCGAAGGTTCCTGGATCCCTAAAGTTTCACTGAAAAATCACTGATGTGAGGCAGATTGATTAATAGAAAAAAAGACATACAAATTTATCTAACATGTACACGGGAACCTTCAGAATGAAAACCCCCAAAGATAGAGGGAGAATTGTCCATTTTTATGCTTAGATTCAACAAAGTATGGACAGCCATGTAAAAATGATTGGACAAAAAGGATATGGTTTAATGCTAACAGCCGGCATGAGGAAACCCAGCAAGGCCTGTCTGTCTAGATTCTTCTTGGCTTTGAGCATTCCCTCCTTCTGTGTGTGGGGCAGAGTCCTTTCTCCAATGGGCGGGTCTTGTGGCCTACAGTCGAACAAGGTAGATCAGATAATTACTTTATGGCTAGTTTTTACATAGAATAATTTTAGGTTTTATGCCTGGCTTTGGGAGAGAAAAGAGTGTTCTGGTTTTTATGACTCACTTTGGGGAAGAGGGGTTCTAGGTTTTATGGCTAGCGTCAGGGAAGATAGCACTAAAAAGCAAGAGGGCAGGAGAAGGGCAGAGAACTTTTGCCTCTGAGGTCTTCATTTTGGAGCACTGTTTTCTGAGTCCGATCAGCCTAATATGTTTCCCTTAGCTTGACTAAAGTTTAGACAAGTTTCTTTCAGATGATTGGCCTCTGACCTCCCTATTTTTAGACAACTTACTTTTAAAAACTAGCAATTGTAAATTCTTTCTCTGCCCCTTTCATATGTAAATATTCAATTAGCCTGTTACCAGTTTTACAGCCCTGAAGTATCTTTGTTAAGAACCTGGGTGACTTCTCTTTGAAGTGCAATAATTAAGAAAGATAGTTTCTAGTCTCCTATCTCCTAGTCTCTGTGAAAGAGTAGGAGCCTAACTTCCCTAAGCACCAATGAGCAAATACAGATGGTCAAATCCTATTGGCCAACCTCCCCTCTAATATCTCACAGTATTTTTCTACTAAATCTCCTCAGTGCTTGAAATCTCTTCTGCCTTTTGTTTCATTAGAATAAAGTCCTCTGTCTCTCCCCTATTACAATAATCTTGCATAAAGTCTCCTTTCCCTATTTGTCAGGTGCAAATTTTCTTTGATATTAGTTGAGGTTTTGATAATTGTACGTACTCATGTAAACAACATAAGGAGATATAGAACATTTCCATTACCCCAAAAGGTTACCTTGTGCTTCTTTCATTATTCAAACTATCCAATCATAAATGTGCTTAGCTTCCTTACCTTGCTTCTCCCATTCCTTCCCAGGAAAACCTTGATAAAGTCAATGGCCACAGGTCCTCTCTTTCTGCCTGTTTTTCTTGATTCTGTGCTTCCCCGTGTGCACTAGATAGCATGACATGCCTCCTGTTTCCAGGATATTATGACTATTATAAAAACCTCTTCCTTCATCACATTTTTTAAATTATTTTTTTATTTTAGCGTATTGTGGGGGTACAAGTGTTAAGGTTACATATATTGCCCATGCCCTCCCACCCCCCCATTGAGACAGAACCTCAAGCGTGACCATCCCTCAAACATTGGACATCTCACTCATTGTGTTTGTATATATCCGTCCCCTCCTTCCCCCTCCCACCTGCCTGACACCCGATAAATGTTATTCCTATATGTCCACTTAGGCATTGATCCGTTAATACCAATTTGTTGGTGAGTACACGTGGTGCTTGCTTTTCCATTCTTGAGATACTTCACTTAATAGAATGGGTTCCAGCTCTATCCAGGAAAATACAAGAGGTGCTATATCACCATTGTTTCTTAAAGCTGAATAGTACTCCATGGTATACATATACCACATTTTATTAATTCACTCATGAATTGAAGGGCACTTGGGTTGTTTCCACAACTTTGCAATTGTGAATTGTGCAGCTATAAACATTCAAGTGCAGGTGTCTTTTTCATAAAGTGACTTTTGATCTTTTGGGTAGATGCCCAGTAGTGGAATTGCTGGATCAAATGGTAGATCTACTTGTATCGCTTTAAGGTATCTCCATATTGCTTTCCACAGAGGTTGAACTAGTTTGCAGCACAATCATTTTCATGTCTGTATGTCTTAGTATACCTGATTAAAACAAACCCCAGAGACATTTTAAAACAGCTTCATAAAATGAGTTGGGTACATTTTTTCTTCCTTTATTTTGTGAAAAAGTTTGTATAAGATTGGTTTAATTTCTTTCCTAAATCTTTGATAGAAATCACCAGAGTACTCATCTAGGACTGGAAAATCTCTTATAGATTTTTCATTTCAATTATATATATATATATATATATATATACATATACATGTTAGATTTTCTATTTTAATCCCCTCACATTTATGCTAATGGTTATTTGTATCTTTTCTTTCATCTTTTGATCAATCCATCTAATAAATACATGTTAATAAATTAAGAGTTTATTAAATTGATCTTTAATAATACTGAAAGGGATGGCCTTGCAAAAATAACAGTAAAATAACAAATCCTACAGTTTCCCCAGTTAATGGTTAAAGATCAATCCTACGAGTTCTCTCACTAACAGGTACCCTGCTGCAGTAGTTTTGTTTTGCACAACTTCTGTGAAGAGCTGAGTGAATGGAAAAGAGGTGTAAATCTCTCTCTTTCAAAATTGTTTGAGAATTTGCTTTTACAGAGTTCCCGAATAAACAGCAGAAGAATGAGCTACAGCCTGAATCATATCTCCAGGACAGAGTCACACATCTCCTGTGATAATCCCTTCTCCAAGGAAAGGCAGGAAAACAAGTCTTGGGCACACATTTTGGTTACATAAATTGCTTTTGTACCATTTGAGTTAAAGTTATGTGTGTCCTCATTCCCCGGATAGTGTGCATGGTACCTATTAGGTGTGAATTTAACCCCCTCCATCCCCAGTCCTTCACTACCTGGCCCTGTGGAGAAGCCAAAGAGTAAAAGGATCTGACTTTGCTGAGTTTCACTCTGCTACACACAGCTTAGCATTCAGGAAAGACTCAATGCAAGCAATATGCAGATCTACAAAGTTCTCGAGTAGTTCTTTACTCTGAAACCCTTCCCTATAATTTCCAGATACCTTAGGCTTCTTGAACTTTTATTTCTGTTCATCAACTTGCCTTCAACTTAGGAAAATTGCTATATCTGCTTATGATCCTTTTTCCTGGGCCATGATCTGTAATGCTGCTCTCCAAGCAGTAAATGGGTAATTACAGGACTCATCTTGTTTATTTCTCTTATCTCAGGAATCACAGTCCTTTCTGACTTCTGTCCAATTTTTGGAAAGCCATTGTTTTTAATATTTTGCCCTGTTTCCTAGTTGCTTACTGTGGGAGCATAATTCTGGTCCTTCCACCATGTCCAGTAGCAGGATTCTCTGTAAGACACTTTGAATTACATTTGGGAGAATGCAAGGCAGTCACCAAATATAATGTTCATGTTAACCCAAGAGTTTATAATTCTTTAATTTAGAAAATAATGGTGATACTTCCATTTGTATGTTAGAAATTACTTTGTAATTAAGTAAGCACTTTAGAGAGACATATATAATTATTATTTGTTTCATACATAAAACTAAAATTTTAATGCAGTATTCAAATTTTACCTTAAATGAAAATTTTAATTACACTTTTGACTTATCTGCAATATCAGCACATAACATAGTACTCTCTCCTAGAACTGTTGCTCTCTCATAACATAGTGCTCTCTCCCAAAACTGTTTAAAGAATTTAAACATTTTGTTTAAAGTCAAGTCATTATGAATATACAGCAGATGATATCTCATTTTCCCCTATTATTAAAGCATAATTCTAAATATCTAAATAAGTCATGAATTCCTTTGCAAAATTTTAAACACGAGAATAAGGTTTTCAAAAGCCTGCCTACACATATTCACTATTATTTGTTGAAAAGCAGTGAATCTCAAATTTACCACAAGGAAAAAAAAAGTCGTAGTGAGATAAGGTATTTAATAAAATTTTAGAGTCTGTAGCTTGGATATTAATGCTTCTGCTGTGTTTATTTTGCTGAAATGGCAGAGTATTGCATTTATTTTTCAGATGAAGTCAAGTCATGATATGCCAGTTGATGTTAGAAATCCGCATATTTTGGTCTGGAGCATGGTTTCTTTCATATGGACTCCTGCCTTATCAAGCTGACCACTAGAAAGATTAAAATACAAAAGGAAAAAGAAATTCAATTAAAATTCATATAAGGAAAGCTTATACATGCTATATATTATTTCGAAAAGGTCTCCAGGGGAAGCCTTTTAAAAAGCACTGTAAGAAACAATCCTTAATAGCCATAAATACCATTCTCAATTAAAGTGAGGGCACATTCAGATAGAAGTCAGGTAGGAAAAGCATTATTATCAAATACATCATATCTGGAGATGGTATAATATAAAACAATTCTCTATGAGTCTGAAAATAAATACTGCAAGCAGGAAGAACTAGTAGAAACCCAATGTATCCGTTTGGAGAAAGGTCAAAGTCATTTCTAAACATAAAGGAAATGGCAGAGACATTAAACATAGAGCTTCTCTTTTCCAAGTCTTATGTTCTGTGAGTGCCTGAGAAAGAACATTCTAGGTATCTGCAGATATGTTTATGTTTTAATATGACTTAGATGAAGTGAGCAACAAATTAAATAAATGAAAAATGAAAAAAGTACATATATCAGTATTGGCAGGAGTCTAACCTTAAAATAATATTTCAGGAAAATTTTAATATTCATGAATACATATAATTAATAATATAATTAGAAAAATATTTTATCATATATACTTTAAACAGAAAAAAAAACCAAAAAATACTTTTCTGCTCACAACTGGTATTCTAGCTGTATACATTCAAGATGTATTCATTACACATCCTCTGGGCATAACTCATTTGTCAATAAGGTACTTGGACTTATTTACTTGGACTCAGGCCTTTCTTTTCATCCCAAAACATTTAAGTTGTATGAATGCTATTGTTGTATTTTTTCTGAAGTCAAATATCAATTTAAGCAGAAAAAAATGAGAAGAGGGCATTAGTGATGTTGCTTATTACAATTTGCAAAAGGTATAAGGGAAGAAAATGTAGAAAAAGAATAATCAGCACAGTTTAAAGCAATGTTACTCTGTGGTCTGGTTTCTGGTGCAAGTCTTACATTCATTATCACTTTGAGATAAGATTGGTAGACAAATTAAAAGTAACCATTTATGTTCATTTATAACAATTTTACACTGCCATGATGTTTTGGTTGGTTGTATGTTAAAAAATTATCAATCCACAAAGGCTTGCAAGTTAAAGCAAAATCAAACAAAGCTGGTATTTTGGCCACATTTGAGAAACACTGAGTGTTTGAGCTGAAATAGGAGATACTATGTATTTTGGTCAATATACAGAAGAAATACTAGAATAGGATTTTCGCTATTCTTAAGAGCAAGGGTTCTCAAACTTTTTAAACAGGGGGCCAGTTCACTGTCCCTCAGGCCATTTGAGGGCTGGACTATAGTTTTAAAAAAACTGTGAACAAATTCCTGTGCACACTGTGCATATGTTATTTTGAAGTAAAAAAACAAACGGGCAAAAACACCTGTATGTGGTCCATGGGCTGTAGTTTGAGGATGCCTGCTTTAGAGAGGAAAGAGAAGCCCTTGAGCATAATGTGTATTTTTGGCCTTTGGACTCCTACATGTTCTTTCTCAAAAGAATGGTGTATTTTCTCTTTTATAGGCTATCATTAACTCTAATAACTGCCTAATACTATCAGGAGAAATGATGCAGATATTCCAAAGACAATTCCAGAATATTTGTACCAAAGAGAATAAAAACATAAGTACCAGATTATCTCAAAATTTTCATATGTAATACATTTTATTTTATATATTCTTATTTGTGACACATTTCAGTTTTCTCTGAAAGCCCAATTGAGTTGGTAGGATTATTGATGTGGAAAAATTGTGCAGATGTTTCTATAAAAAGCATCTGACCATTCAAGGAAGAAAGGGGGAGCTGTTTAAATGAAAATCCTAAATGGTTTGTGGTTGAGGGGCAAGTGACAAAAGATTGATGGCAAAACAAGATATCTTAAATGGGAAAGGGATAGAAAAAAATAACTAAAATAACCATGTAGGAATGAATCAAGAGGTGGAGGCTTCAGAAGTGGTGGCAACTGCCCTGTGCCATGGAAGGTGGTCACAGGAATCTCATCTCTTTTCTCCTTTGTAGTCCATATTATTATACTTTATACTAAGGGAAAACTGTGAAGGTATAAAATATGTTATATGGGCATATATTAATGCTTGAGAGAGACCATGATTATGGAGGTGGGATTACAAACACTAGTACATCAGCAAGGGAGGGGCTTTGTAGATATTTAAGATAGTACAATAACTGTAATATAGTTGATGACCCTGGCTTTCTGTGTGGCAATGCATAAGTTCCCTTTACTGTGCAAAAACAAATGGTAAATAAACCCAAGGGGCTGGAATTTTCCTTATAATATGCATTTACTCCAGAAACTCAGAGGGGAGGGCAAGTTATGTAAATTACTCTAGAAACTCAGGGGGTGGGGAAGGAAAATTGCAGAAAGAGGATCAGCACAGTCTAAAAAAGAAAGGGAAGTGCTTTCTTTCATACTAAGAGAAGCTCAGTTATGAAAAACTCTATGCCATAAACTTGAAAACTTGTATGAAATTAACTAACTCTTAAAATGTCTCAATCTATCAAAACTCACACAAGGAGAAATGTATAATCTGAATAGGGATATTATCTATTCAAGAAATTTAATCAAAAATTAACAATTTTCCAAAACAGAAAGCACTAGGCCCAGATGGTTTCCCAAGTTATTCTACCAAACATTTAAAAATAAAATTACACCAATTCTCTACAATATCTTGCAGAAAATAGAAGCAGAGCGAATATTTTCTAAGTCATTCTATGAAGCCAGCATTATCTTAATGCCAAAACCAGAAAGAAAAGATTATAGAAGAAAGGAAAATGATAGGGCAATATATCTCATGAACATAGATATAAAATTCCTCAATAAAAGATTAGCAAATTGACCCAATAATGTATAAAAAAATTATACACTTCAACCTGGAATTTATCCCAGGAATGCCAGTCTGGTTCCAAAATCAATTAATCTAAAAATCAACTAATGTAATCCATCACATCAACAGGCTAAAGAAGAAAATAATATGATCATATCAATAGATGCATTATGATCCTATAATGCCCAGTTAATATAAAAACTCTCAGCAAAATAGAAATAGATAAAAATATCCTCAACCTAATAAAGGACATCTAAAGAACACCTATACCTAACACTGTATTTAATGATGAGAAACCAGATGCTTTTCAGCTAAGAACAGGAACAAGACAAGGATATCCCTCCCACCACTTCTGTTCAGCGTCACATTAGAAGTCCTACCTAATGCAGTAAGGCAAGAAAAGGAACTAAAAGGTACACAGTTTGGGAAAGAAGAAACAAAACTCTCTTTATTCAGAAATGACATGATTATCCATGTGGAAAATTCCAAAATATTGCCAACAACTATGACAATAACAGAAATTAAAAAGCTCATAGAATTAATAAGTGATTATAGTAAGGTCATAGGATATTGGTTTACAGAAAATTCAATTGACTTCCTCTTGCCAGCAATGAACAATTTGAACTTGAAGTTAAAAAAGCACACCGTTTACCTTAACACCACAAAAATGAAATGTATAGGTATAAATCTATGAAAATATGTACAAATCTGGATGAGGAACGTTACAAAAATCTGAGAAAAAATAAAAGTTGATCTAAATAAATGAAATAAACTCTATGTTAATTTATAGAAAGACTCGATATTGCTAAAATGTCATTTCTTTCCAAACTGATCCAAGGATCTAACACAATCCCAATCAAAACTACAGAAAGTTACTTTGTGAATTTCAACAAACTGATTCTAAATTTTATATGGAAATGTTAAAGACCCAGAATAGCCAACATAATATTGAAGGAGAACAAAGTCAGATAACTGACATTATCTGATTTTAAGAGTTACTACAGCTATAGTTATCAAGAGAGTGTGGTATTGGTGAAAGAACAGAGTTCAGTGAAATGGGATAGAGATCTCAAAAATAGATCCACAGAAATATAGTCAACAGATCTTTGACAAGGAAGCAAAATTACACAAGACAGAAAGGATAATCTTTCCAACAAGTGGTGCTAGAACAACTTGACATCTGCATGCAAAAAAAAAAAAAAAAAAGCCTAGACATTAACCTTACACTTTTCATTAACATTAACTCAAAATGGAGCATAGACCTAAATGTAAAATACAAAAGGGTAAAATCTGTAGACAATAATACAGTAGAAAAATCTATGTGACCTAAAGTTTGGCAATAAGTTTTCATACAAAAAAAAGCATGATTCATGGAAAAAATGGTTTATAAGTTGGATTTCATTAAAATTAAAAACTTCTGCTCTGGGAGAACACTGTTAAAAGAATGAAAAGGTGAGTCATGGACTGGGATAAAATATTTTCAAAACACATATCTGATAAATGATTGGTGTCCAAAATATACTAATAACTCTCAAAACTCAATAATAAGAAAATAAACACACCAATTAAAAAGTAGACAAAAGATTTAAACAGATACCTTGTGAAAGAGGTTATATAGATGACAGATAGGCATATGAAAAATAGTCCATATCATAGTCATCAGGGAAGTGAAAATAAAACAATGAGAGATCACTACACATCTGTTAGAGTAGCTGAAGTAAAAACCACGGACAAGACCAACTGCTGACAAGGATGTGGAACAAATGGAACTCTCATTCATTGTGGGAGTTAATGGAAAATAGTATAGCTACTTTGGAATACAGTTTAGCAGTTTCTTAAACAGCAAAACACAGTCATATGACATGATGCGGCAATGATGCTCTTAGGTATTTATCCAAAGAATTGAAAATTTATGTCCATATGATCACCTGCACATAAAAATTTATAGCAGCTTTATTTGCGATTTCCAAAAATTGGAAGCAACAAAGATATCCTTCAAGAGATGAATGAATAAACTTTGGTATATCCACCCAAGGGAATATTTTTCAGTGATAAAAAGAACTGGGTTATCAAACCATGAAAGATAAAAGATGCATATTGCAAAGTGAAAGAATTCAATCTGCAACTACATGACATTCTGGAAACTATAGATATAGTAAAAAGGTCTGTGGTTGCCAGGGATTTGAAGGAAGGCAAGAAGGGAAAGGGTGAATAGGTGGAATGCAGGGGATTTCTAGGACAGTGAAACTATTTTGTACAATACTGTAAAAATGGATGCAAGACATTGAGTGTATTTGTTAAAACCAATTGAATTGTATAACACAAAGAGTGAACCCCAATGTAAACTATAGACTACAGCTTAATAATGTACTGAAAGTGGTTCATCTATTGTAATAAGTGTATCACAACCATACAAGATGTCATTAAGAAACTGTTGGGGGCAGATGAGAGAAAATATACGGGAACTCTTTGCACTTTCTGCTCAATTTTACGGTATATCTAAAACTTCTCTAAAAATAAAGTCTACTAATTAAAATAAAAAAGAGTACAATAAATCTTTTGAGAGTGATATATATGCTCATAATCTTGGTTGTGGTTGCTATTTCATGGGTGTACATGTGTTAAAACAAAAAATAATATACTTTAAATATTTTAACTATGTGAAGTTTATTGCATGCCAATTTTCCTTCAATGAGGTTTATAAAATAATGACATATATATATATATATAAATATATATTCCGAAAGGCAATTTTCATGATCAAAAGGAAACTGGTTCAGTTGTCACATGCATTTTGCCTTTTTGATTATCTTTTTTTTTCCTTTGTGAAATGTGGATATGATTGCTGTAGATATAGAAACCATTTTAAAACCATGAGAATAAAAGCCATGTGATAAGTATGGAAGATCAGAAAGTCAGAAGGAACTTGGGATTTCCTTGATTTTTGAAACCACCATGTCAGCCACTCACCACCTAAATCAGGAGTTCTTGTTTGGATAAAAAAATATATTCCTATTTGGTTAACCCACTGCAGTTGAGTTTCTGTTACAAAGAGCTAAAGTCAGCAATTCCTAACCAACATAGCTATTCATTAACTGTGCTTATAAAATATTTTTTTCAAAAAGAAAACCAACAAAAAACTTGATTATTGGAAATATAACTTTCTCCAAATCCTTCTATATGACATATAATTCAGATTTATAGATTGTTCAGGTAAGGCCAGAGCTCACCGCTAGGCTGAAAGAGAAATGGATGAGGAAATGTGAAAATTTACCCTGAATAAAAGCCTAAAATTGGAAGAAAGTAGTAGTTGATCTTTGTCAAAGATATGAAAAGATGAAATAAACTGATTGGTGTAGAGTTTTCTGATGTTGCAAGTGTTCAATCCTAAACTGAATAACTACTTGCCAAGAGATTTTATAATTTACTTTCCAAATGATATAATCCAAAAGATTTAAGTGAATAACCTTGGCAGTCACCTGACATATGGCAAACCAAGAACTGAAATCCAGAATAACTTGGTTTCAAAGATCATACTATTTTTATTAAACCACATCACCTCCAGGATAACTGCAAAGAAGATATAAATAATAGATGAGAATTTGGTTAGAAAATATTTCAGACTGAAATCACAAATTTCTCAAAGGACAAAGGAAAAACAAAATTTAGAGTGAATATCACATAAATCAAAAATGAAGATGTTAAGTACATTTAAGGTTCAATTGATTTCAGTGAAACCTTTATACTTACTAGGAGTCCTCGGTCTGGAATAGGAGCAGGGTTTGCAAACCGTTTACTTAATTTCCTCTTCTCTTTCTTTAGGTTTTGCATATCATGAATACGCTTATCTACAATCTTTAGAAAAATTAAAAAGAAAGAAAACAAATCATACTTTTTATAAAATACAAAAGTAACATGCTGATTACATTTTTGGTTCGTGTCAATTAAAAAAAGATAAGCACAATCAATGCATATGACTTAGCTACGTAGATGTAGGAAAAAGGAAACCATTTCTTTCAAATATGTGGCTCATATGTGAAGAAAAATACATTAAATTATCAGTAGAGTTTTCAAATGAGACTATTTACTATTGATTCCTACTTCACCACTGTGTACATTTAGATAGATCCAGACTCATGGATACATGTGTTTACTTTTACTTTAAAGGTAATGTTCATTAAAAACACCCAGGGAATTTTCTTTATGGAAATAAGAAAATAATTACATTCTTTACTCCTCTTAAATGTTGCACGTCACGTATAACTTTTTATGTCACCATCGTATGGCACCTACAAGTAGCAGCCCTAGGTGATGAAGCTAAATGTTTTGAAGGTAATGAAATGCAGTATTAGACAGGAAGTCAATAACAAGAAATATTGTATCTACTGCCAGTGGGAATGTAAATTGGTACAACTGCTTTGAAAACAATGTAGTATTACTTTATAACAATGAAAAATTCGTCTTTCCTATGATCCAGCCTTTCCACTCCTGCCTAAATAATCAAGTGAAACTCTGGTGCATGCTGAAAGGAAGCATGTTCCGGAATGCTTGCAGTAGCACTGCTCATCATAGGAAAATTTGAAAACAACTTAATTTCCATAAAAAAGAAAGAATTAATAAACGAATGCTTCCCACAACAAAATATTAAGCAGCAGTGAAAAATAAAGGGACTGCAACTATTAATATATACAACAGTATAGATGAATCTTAGGAAACAATGTTGAGAAGAAAGAGTAAATCATAAACTGAATTTTGTGTGATATTATGTTTATAAAGTTCAAAACCAACGTACTTATAGAGGCATATATGTAACAAAGTATTAAAGAAAAGGAAGAGATTGACAAAATTAAAATTCAAGATAGCGGTTACCTCTGGGAGAGATACAGGTATTAGGCTAGGGAAGTAGTCCCTAGCTGGATTCAAGGATATTCATAATGTGTTAATTCTTAAGTTGGAGATATATATTATTGTTGTGGTTTAAACAAAAAGATATGTATCTGTATCGAATATTACATTAAAACACAAGAATATAATCCATCTAGTTTACCCTAGTTAAGACCCATTTTAATAGTAGTCTCAAGGTCCCAGAATCCCAAGAAAGCTATCTCAGAAGTATCTAGCTAATAAAAGTCATAAATATGTTAGGAACCATGATAAAAAGGAAAAAGTTAAAAGTATAAAGTTTAAACGACCAGAATTTAGTTCTTTATTAAATATTACCTGCTTCTCTGTCACCGCTGAAGGATGAAGCGGTCTTGGTATTTCCTATGTGATATGCAAAATTTAAAAACACAACCACAAGTCATGAGAAAGCAGAGAAATTATTTATTATAATAGGAATCCAATGCTACCGTTTTTATTTCTGTATTATATGAGTATTATTTTAACTGCTAAAGGCAGGATCAGAATAAGAACATCTGAGGAAGAAATTGGGGTGGAGGGTGGAGACAGCATTACGTGAAAAAAGAACTATCTACGAACCACTTTGCAGGGAACAGGTAGAGTACTGAGATTTATTCTGGAGGGAAAAGGTGTACAAGAAACCCCCAAATCATGTTTCTGCTGGTAAGTGACTTAAATGGTGCCTCCTTGCTCTTCATTGAAGAGCAAGGAGGTATCTAAAGCCTAGGAAAACTGGGCTGATTGAGATGGCGTGGTTTTCTGAATTATAGAGGAGCTTGTTTGTTAGTAAGGTTCCCACCCCTTCCCCATTTCTAAATTGTATCTTAAATACCTCCCTGAGTTCCCTCATTGTAATCCAGCTTTTTAACCCGAAGACCCAAAAGCAATCTCTTCCGCATCTGAATATTAAGAATTTTATCCTGCCTTCTACTTCTATAATTCCCACCCCAGCTCTTAGGGCGGGTCGATGGGTCATTCCACAAACAAGTTAATTGAACCTGCCTGTCCCTCAGCCACCGCTGGGTGGGACTTTTCCTCATCTCAGATAGATCCAGCAGCCCAGGTTCTAGACTGTCTCCACCTGGGATTTCCCAACCCCTAGCACCAAACCACATGTGCAACCACTGGAGGGACAGGCAGGCGGAAGGCTAAGGTTGCCATGGCCTGAAGTGCAAAACCCGGGCTGGGGACGCAGATTAAGGGCCCCAGCAGACTCACAGGGCTGACTTGGGTAGTGTCGGTATCCCAGCAGTACAGGCACATGCTGCGGAGCCTCAGGGCACCCCTAGGCGCCTATTGCCGGACCCACACCAAGTAATTGTGGGGAGCACCACCCGTGTCTCTCAAGCTCCGCCCCACCTTATCCCATCACAATTCTCTTTATTCTCCTCTCGTAGGCCCCACCCTTTCCCTTAGCAGTCTTCCCGTCCCAGAGCAGGGAAGGCAAGGCCTCTAATTGTTCTCATAGTGTGTTAGAATTATGACTGTCAGGTTACCATGATTCTCTATATCTTTTTCCTCTTGCTCAGAAAACCACATAATACCAATTTTCCATCTTTTCTAGTCCTTATCTCTACTCTCTTTCTTTATAAAGGCTCCGTTATTTCATAACATATCTAGATTAGACTCCATGGTCTATCACTTCAGTCTGCCTATTGTTAGGGTTCTCAATTCCATCACCTCATTGTTGTTCCATCATAGCTTCCAGTTGGGTGGACCCAACTGTCTGCCTTCTTCTCATCTATTTATGCCAGACTGAAGGGGGCAAACCTTGAAGATGGCTGCAATACATATTCATTACCTCCAATGTAAACTGGGTCCCACTTTGATATTGGACTAGCTCTTTTTAGTGCTCTGAAGTTTTCTCTTCTGTCTTCCCTCCATTAAAAAATTCTGAATCCACCAACTCCAGGAGAAGTAGGACAACCCTTGCTTCACATGCTGATACTGGCTAACACATACAGGACTTATTTTATACTCAGCACTGTTAGGTGAATGTACATATATTAACCGATCAATTTCTTAGACCACTGAAGAGGGTAAGTGCATGATTATTATTACTGGGTAACAAGCCACTGGCATGTGAAATTACTTGCGTGAGGTTATACAGTTTGTAAGAGGGTGAGCTGGAATTTAAGCCCAGAGTTGGCCAACAAAGAAGGTGCTCTAATCATGGTGCTGTGCTACCAGTTGCTTTTTAAGCCCATGAAACAGACCCACACCCCATCCCATTTGAAGCCCAGACGGGAGCTTCCTCAATTCCTTACCACCCATAAGCCTTGTCTATATTTACATTATCCTTTTCCCTGTAATTATATTGATATAGAAAAATTTGGGGTCTCTTCTCTTGTCTCAAATATCTCCATTTCTGTTTCCATGCCATTTCCCAACTAGGAGCCCCTTGGAGATCTTGCTCTGCAGATTGTTTCCTTTCCTTGTTAACTTTTCTGTATCGCCTTTCTCTTTTACATATTTAAATACTGTATGCTCAAATCTCCTCCTCTTCAAACTAATAAATGAAACTCCTTTGAACACAATTAATTGTATCTATCACCCAGTAGGAGATTTGTCTGTGCCTCTTGTCTCCCATTCTTTACATTCAGTGAAATACTTGGCTCACTGCAACTTTCTTCAGCATTCACTATACATACCACTGACACTTGTCTCAAAATGCTCACTGGTGATCTTTCCACTAGATTTAATGGGTACTTTAACTTTGTATAGTGTTAGAAACTGCTAAGAGATCTCTTGGACAGATTAGGCTTAGGAAACTTAAGTAATATTGCCCAAGTGCAGTGTTTGAAACCACTGACAACTCCCTTCTTGAAACTTCCTCTCGGGGAACAATAAGGCTTAGAAAAATTATGCAATCTCGCTCATCCTCATAAACCATGAATTGACTTGAAATGTTGTGTTTTTCCCTAATATACCACATTGTCTCAAGAATATATTTTTGTATACTTACTATTACATATATAGCTAGCTCAAATAATAGAAGAATGAATACATTAAGTTATTGCCCTCAGAGAAAATTAGACAAGTTAGCAACAATGAAAAGGTAGGACAGTGCATTGTGAACTTTTATGACCCATGTTCTGGAGAACTTCAGGAGCACTAGTTCTTTCTGCAGATGGATCCAAGAAGCCCTCTTAGTGGAGTAGCCAGAGTTTACTACATAGCTAAAGAAAGAGCATTCCTGACAGAAGCAGCAGTGTGTCCAAACGGCAGGGGGTATGGATTAGTATCATGGGTTTGATGACTAGGTACCTATTGTTATCACTTTTTACTCTTCTCATCTCATTGCCTTTCCTTCTCCCTTATTTTATACCAAAAAAAAAAAATCAAAAGGGCTGAAATTGAAATAAAACAATGATTAGCTGGAATCAGGCACTATGAGACTGCCATAATAAAATAATTCGAAGTTACGTGTCTGAAACTTATTGTTATGTGGGCAGTGGAACCCATAAGAGTTCAAATCTTGTCTTAACCACCTGAAAACTCTTGTGACCCTGGCCAACTAGTTATCTTGCATGCACCTCAGTTACTTTTTCTACATGTATAAAATGGAAATGATAATATCTAATAATATAAGGTATTTATAAGCATTAGAAGTAATATAAGTGAGAAAGTGAAGAATTGGATCCAGTACTTGTTAGCTAGTAGTTACTCAATAATGGTAGTTGTAGTTATATTTTATTATCCAAATGGAAAGAACCTTAGATATCATGCAGCCCAGTCTCCCATCTGATACTTTAAATCCCCTTGGCAATATCTTAATTTAGTGGCAATCCAGCTTCCTTTTGATTAAGTCAATGGATAGGAAATTCACTCTTGCCCATTCAATCTTTTTGGTACCTCTAATTATTTGAAACCTTCTCACCTACATTGATTTGAAATAAATCACTCTGTTAGTTGTAGTTATGTCCTCAAGAGCCTCACAAAAAAAGTCATTCTCTTCTACATGCTGATGGGGCTGAAGGAAGAGCCTGGCATTGCCAGAATCCAGAAGCTTAAGAAGGGGCTTATAAGCTGGGAATCAGACCTCTGACGAGGTGAACACTACCCAGTATCACAAGAAGTTGAATGGGAGCAGGGAGTGGGGGCGTTCTTCAGAGCTGAGGGATAAAAGGCTTCTTAGAAGGAGACACTGTCTGGTAGGTGCTGGTATGATTAAGGAAAAATAATAAAACCAATTCTGGGAGAGTGAGAAGGTCTTGGAAACTGGAAATATCTGCTACTGGAGATATTTGCTATTGCCAGGTGAAGTGGCATTGCTAGGGTGGCACTGCAAGACAAAAATCAGGAAGGAGAAAGATCTTTCTCCCCTCCACCTTCCTTGCATTCTCCCTCCAGGCCTCCCTATTGGCTAAACCTACCAGGACTCCAGCTAGCTAAATTTCCAGCTCACTATTTCCAAAGAGACAAAAAATATGAGGAGTCCTAGTCCTGGCCTCACAAAGTAGAATGTGGAAGACTAGATTTAAAGGCGAAGGACAACAGCTTAATAAGCAGCACAATCACCATCATGTCCTAAACCACATGGGTTCTTTCAATGATAGGTCTTTGAAAATGGTTTCAAATCTTCCTCCCTGTCCAGGCTGATCTGAAAACTGTCATCAGACCAAGTGTGATGGCTAAACTTTACAAGTCAACTTGGTTGGGCCACAGCAGGTGTCCAGATAGTTGGTCGGACATTATTCAAAGTGTTGCCATGAGGGTGTTTTTTAAATGAGATTGGCATTTAAATTGGTAGACTGAAGCAGGTTGTCTTACATATTGTGAGTGGGTCTTGTCCAATTAGCCGAAGGCCTGAGTAGAATGAAAGGTTGACCTTCCTCCTACTAAGAGGAATTCTACTGCCTGGTGGCCTTTGAAGTGGGACATCTGTTCTTCCTGGTTCTACAGTAGCTGGCCAGCCTTCAGACTTAAACTAGAAAACTAGCTCTTTTTGGATTTGTCAGTCTCCCTAAACACATAAACCAATTTCTTATAATAAATCACTTTATATATAAAATAGGATATATATTTTTAATGGGATATATATATATATATAGGTTGTGCAGAAAGTATTCAGTCATGTATATATGTTCTCATTATATTAACAATTACAATTACAATGGGTGTGTACTTTCCAGACAGCCTTCCTATATATATATATGTGTGTGTGTGTGTGTGTGTGTGTGTGTGTGTGTCTGTATAATCTCCTACTGGTTGTATTTCTTTGGACAATCCTAATACACCAAGTAAAGACTGAAGAGGGAAAGCCACCCTTTTCCTTACCTAAAATGGGTACTGGATTCCAATAAGTTTGGAAAATTCTAGGTTAAACAAAGTAATACAAATGTTTTTACTGTAGGACTATTCAGATTTTTAATATGTTAAAGTGGTTATGAGTGTCCAGAAGGGTCCATATTGTACAGTGTTTCCCCAACTTGCTTATGGGACCCCCTTGGAGGGTGCCTTATATAATCTTTCAGTTATATGTGGAGGATGGTAGGTTAAAGATAGCAGTTATTTCTGAATAATTACAATTATAATTTTATATCACTTTAAGTATTGCCTTGTTATGATAAGAACTCTAATTATTAATATTTAAACAACATTTTTCCTGCATCTAATTACTTTTTTCATTTTCTGCCTAATATGTGCTGATTTTTGTTTCATATAAGTGGCTGTTTCATAATGTAAGTAAGATTAGCTCATTAGGGTTTTTCCATACTGCAGCTGGTGTTTTTATTATCTCTCTCTGGGTACTTGATAAATGTATACTGATGAAATTAGTTAATGTAGCATAGCACTATTAAATGCTATATGTATATCCTGTAAAACAAGATAAGAGTTATTAAATAGAGTATCCACATGGTTTTCATTAGTTTAAATGTTGCATACTTTCTTTCATTTATTTTGCAGATAAAATTATTTTAAAGTTTGTGTCTTTCAGTTTTCTTTTCTCTCATCTCCAGTATTTCAAAACTTGGTTATTAGCAACTGAATTTATAGAAGCATTAAATATTTTATTCACATTTCAAGAAAAAATGTTTGTCATGTCTGTTTGATGTTTCCATGATTAGATTTTATATTTGCAAATTTATACAAATACAGTGCAAGTTCTTAAAGAATTAACTTGTAAGGTTTTCCACATAAATGAAGCAACTCACACAGAAATGCAAATGGATATTGACACTGATTTATCTTGTACCAACATTCACTGATTTTCAGTTTTATTAGCACCATTGCCACTGTAACAGATTACCACACATTTGGTTGTTTAAAACAGCAGAACTTTATTCTGGAGGCCAGAAGTCTGAAGTCAAAGTGCCAGCATGGTCTTGCTTTCTCCAGAGGC